ATATATAATATTTTGAGATACTAGAAATCCTATTTGCTAATTAATTACAAACCATATTATAAATAACAATACTTAAAGGAAACCATCGGACTTTTTTTCACCGCCATACCAATCCATATCATGCATGACACAGCAGGAGTTTGACCATGTTTCTTTACACAGTTAAGATTTTATGTGTTTGGAGAATGAAGTCATGTCGTGTGCATTAAGAAATAATTCATTTCCTGCTCAGTGGAATGCATTGCACTGATTAGACTGAGCAGTAGAGATGTGTAATGTGCAGCTGTATCCCTTTAAGTATTGAGCCAAATCAAGGTCTTATTGAAAAAAGGTAGTCGTTAGTTCAACAGTACCGACTCTCTGAAACTGCTTAGAGATAATTATTAATGGGTTTAACAATGTAACACACATCTCTGATTTTGTAAGCACAATGGTGCTTGTAGCTAAATGTTAATAGTTGCTAACAATTGCTGTAGTAATATTGTACTAATATTTTCTTTGACTAACAAACCTACTTTACTTCCTTAGAGCTGAATAAAAGAGCTTTTTGATACAGTTTTAGCAGGCTGGTCTTCAGCCTGTGTAACTACTTTACTTACTTGGGTCTGTCCCTTCTGCTGAACACTAAGGCTGAATCAAAACAAGTATTGCTCAAGCAGAGCACACGAATCACTTATTTACTCTGATCCCCCACATTCCCACCCAAAATAAAAATATGTTTAAGAATATGCAGTGTTATGTGTAAGCATGCATATTGTGTGTCTTTGAATATGTGTATGGATGTTTAAGTCACTTTGCAAACAGAAGAACTATCCGTTTTCCATTATCCATTCTTAAGAGTTAGCTGTTTTGCTTTCAGTTACGTGATTTACGAATGTTTATTAGTCAAAACAAAGTGTTTTCACTGCTTCCTGGCATTTTATGCTTTAAACAATAAATTTATCAAGAAAATATTAACAGATCCCCCCTCCCACCAAAATGAGCTCCTCCAAGAACACGGAAGCTTAAAGAATTATCATTATGACCAAGCCCCTGCATGGGATGTACATTTAACAGATATAGGAAGTTGCTAGAGGCCAGTATAAAGGACAGCACAGAGACTCTGATCATGAAAGCACAAGAACAGGCCGTAAGCCCCAGATCCATAGAGACAGGAGTCTACCACAGCCAACAGGACCCAAGTTGGTGCCCCAGAGACTATGCAGTACAAAGTAGTAGGATGTAAGATACAAGCTAGGACTGTACACACTAAAAGAACCAACCAAGTGGCTGAGGTAGTGCACAGGTGCATCTGTGGTAGAAATAGACTAGAAGGTCCCAAGTACCAATGGGAGACACAATGAGAGAGTTCCAGACAAACAAGCAGCTGCTGGCCAACAAACCAGACATAGTGGTGGTTGACAAGGAAGACCCCAGGGAATACCAACATTAGTTAGAAGGAGCACAAGAAAATAGAAAAGCAGAGGTGGGCGGTCCCAGTGATCCCAGTAGTCACAGCAGCAGGAGGAAGTGTAACCCCAAAACTGGAAGAGTGGTCTGCTGATGGAAGAGTAAGGGGAATAACCATGTGCGGTGGTGTAGCAAGGAGAAGGCAAAAGAACGTGACGGTGCACAAGAGTGCAGAGGACTGATGCAGCATACGTGCTAGTTATTTCACTTATTCCCAGAGGGAACGTGTGGTTGATGAGAATTTTGGGGCCAAATTATATGCAAGGCACACGTGTTTTTGTTTCACAGCTTATGTCATTTAGAACTGATAGCCTACATTTCTTCTGTAAAGAGTTACATTTCATTTTTATCTTTACTATATTGTCTGAACCTGAGCCTGGTTCTGCTGGAGGCTTTTTCCTGTTAAAGGGGAGTTTTTCCTTCCCACTGTCACCAAAGTGCTTGCTCATAGGGGGTCATATAATTGTTGAGTTTTTCTATGTACGTATTATTGTAGGGTCTATCTTACAATATAAAGCACTTTGACTGTTGTTGTGATTGGGTGCTGTATAAATAAAATGATTTGAAATTGTCCTGATCCATGTAACTCCTGGAGAAAAATAAAGCTTTTTTCACATATTAGATACAAAGTATAATTCACAAAGTAGAATAGAGAACTTTTTTCTTTTGAAGTTATCATCTGGTGTATGAGCTTTGATGTAAAAATAGCAGTCAGTTAGCTTCATAATAATATTCTGCTAGAGTGAGCATGTGCAGTCAGTGAAAACATATAGGACTAATACGTCTGTAAAATTACAATATGAGGAATGTACCGCTAGACACCGCATTCTTTCTGAAAAAATACCTGAATGTCACTGAATAATAATTATTTATTAGCTTACTGTTTTGCTGTGTTGATAGTAAAAACTAATTAACATACAAGCATTAACAGCTTTTTGGACAATTTACAGCCTTTTGCTGGTTGAGTCATTTTCCATTATGCATTTTAAGCGCGGAGAATAAAAGAGAAGACTGTAGATGCAGTCCCACTGTGCACCTCATACCTCACATAAATTGTTGATTTATTTTTTATTTATTTATTTATTTTTGCATTAAAGAAAATAAAATAGATTATGAAGTGCTACTGGCTCTATCTGCCCATCGCTCTTTGGTCCATCCCATTGTTTTGTAGCAGAACAGGCGGTTTATTGTTCAAATGTGTGTAAGTGTGTGTGCGTTTGTGCTGAGTCAGCCTGGTACACCGAGGCTTTCTGAGCCAAAGCCTGGCTTTACTGCACCGTAGCAGACTGATGCCTGCCTGCAGAGAAACAGTAAACCCAGACTGACACACCACAGCACTCTGCTGGGCCATAGATACACAGTTATACTTTCATAAAAGCTTTGGTTTGGTGGACAGACCGACAGATAGATAGATGGATGGATGGATGGATGTGCAGTTCTGGTGTGTTAAAATGGTAGTATTGGCTGTGGCTGTGTGCAGTGGTGCACGTGTTGCTCCTCCTTGTGTGTGGCCACTCCCTGAATTCCTGCACCAGAGGCCTCTCGCTCACAACATCTACTCTACTGCTTTCTCTCCTGGGCTGAGATCAAACCTATTATTTTGCTGAGAGAGGGAAGAATGTAGCAGAATATCCATACTGTGCTGCATTTTAATCTGACACATCGTGGGTTTTATCCGTTTGTATGCCGTGACGTTTTGTCCTTCAATCCCATCCAGGGCTAGAGGCTAAAATTAAGCTTGAGTCTGTTGCCATATATAGAACATTTGTTGCTTTTCTTTTTTTCCATGTGTTGTCTTCTGTCGTTATAGTTCAACTAATATGGAAACAGATGAATACCGAAAGTAATAAATCAACAAGCCATTAAAGGGGCACTTCATGGAGTGATGCGTAATTATATTTGATCCCAAGCAAAAAGATGCTTCTCTGACAGGGAACAAAGGAGGCTGAGAACTCGCTTTATAGTAAAGTACTCATATTCAGGTTTAATGGAATGACAGGCTGTGTAATTGTTTCTCATTTGTGAGACTTTTCAGTTCCAGTAATTTTAGCTTTTCTTCTCTTGAAAATATCTAATAAAAATAATGCAACTAATTTTTCTTTGAAAATTGAAATTGAAAAAGTTTTGATGTTTGAAGTCTTCTCAAGGATCTGTACAATGTAAGGTGAAGACCCTGCTATAGATTACAGAGAAGCCCATTGATTCACTATTTGATAGCACTTTGCGACAGTGGGAAGGAAGAACTCCTTTTTAACAGGAGCTCTTCCTCCACGCAACCTAGTTGAGGGTGAGGGAGGGGGAAAAGGAGGCAGAGGAGAAGAGCAGTGCTTTTGATGATATTTTTCTGGTATAATATTGCTGCTTTTACATAAATAAAAGGCTTTGAAGGTTTTCCTTTTTTTTACACCAGTATTGATCTGTAATGTTGCATATGCTTTATAGAGATCTACACTGCATTTGCAGAGGTAAAGGTGAAACATGAGATTAAACCTCTGTCCAGAATTTCCATGACTAAGAGAGTTGCCAGTGAATTGAGTGAGATTCACAGGAAGTTTAGTCCCCTGCTGTGAGAAACACTGATACTTACTGTACTGGCTTCATTGCCGGGTCAGGTTTTCTGAAAATGACACCAGGTTTTAGTGATGAAGCTGCAGAAACACCTGATTACAACACCAACAAACACTGCAGGACCGATCTTTTTGAATGTGCATTGTCATTCTCATCATAAACAAACACCTGCTTTTCTATCAAATGACCACCAGAGGGAAGTGTTGGCTTCCATTTAACTCTCTAGACACATTTGGGGAAATATATATATATATTTATGGGCTGCGGGAAATTTTGCCCTCAGCCCTGCTTTCCAGGCTGCAATGCCCTTTTGCATGATGTATCATTGACATGCTTTAGCTTATACATGTATACTATTACTGAGGTTAAGCAGTTAAAGGTTAGAAGGATTTTGGCTGAGCTCAAAAGGGACTGTTGCCTTGGAGGCAACACACAAGACAAGATACTCCTGCAGGTCCACAGACCACATGCAGTCAATTGCGTATTGAGTAATGTCCTGTTGTGTGTACGTGGTTGGTGTGCAGAGGTCGGCAGGAATGTCTGTATAGTAAATACTTCATGTTCAGTTTTTGTAATAGAGATGTGACATTTGTGTCTTTGTGCCAAAGACACAGTCAGGTCTGCATGATGTTTTGCAATGAAAGATTAAAAGACTCACACAAAGCGGTTCGAGTATTTTCTCTTTATTGTTGGATAAAATCTATAAAATATTCCAAAAACAAATACAATACATTATGAACGATCATCTTTTCACTGAACAAAGTCTTCCTTCAGTTACATTGGAGGGGGGGGTTGTTTTTCATGTTCAGCATTGACAACATACACTTTGTGCTTTGCAAAACCTACTGACACTCTGTGCTTTCACACAATTATAAATAACACTGCAACCTCCTGCTTATTATATTCGATCCTGTCAGACAGATTATGTAAAATTATTTTATAAAAAACAGAAAAGTGGTTTTATTTCACCGGCTGAAGAACAGCCAATTCACACAGTGTCTGTGCAGAGGCATCAGGAGCAAAAACAAGTTGTTGTTGGAGCAGCAGTGCGCTGCTCGTACATCTCATGTGATTGGTCTGTAGTCTTAGTCTGGGCAAAACAAGCTCCAAACCCCTCCTACTGAACATGTGACGCAACCTGCTTCCTCCCACCCTCCTCCACGTCCTCATCCTCCTCCTCCTCTTATTTTCCCCCCTTCTGGCTCTGGCTGCCACCTCCTCCCTCAGCTAGTTCACTGTCAGCCCGTCAGGATACATTAAGCTCATATGCCTGTAGTGTTCAGCGAGCACAGAAAAAGGCCAAGTAAAGGGAAGAAACCATGACAGCCGTGGCTTCTGAGTGCTTTACGTAACACCTTTCTGCAGTCCTTTGGGTTACAAAAAACAGAACAAAAAACAACAAATATCAATGAAGCTCGAGCTCACACAGACACAACACCTCAGCGCAGTTGAAAATTAGAATCAGTAGTAAGGCACGTTGTCAACATGAAATGAGATGGAGATGAGGACGGATCACTTTGGTCTGACAGGAGAGCGTTAGATTCTCAGCACAATTAAAATGATAAACCACACCGTTTCGATCAGCGACAAACACACGACGGCTCTCTGGGTGAAAACAGGAGTGTTCCAGATAAACCGGCAGACAGACAGACATCAGGAGGTAGAACAGGAGTAAACCACAAACAGCGAAGGTCAGGCGTCAGATTCCCTGTGACCTTTCACTCACTGGATTTCTTCTGCTAGACAGGAAATTGGTTTCAGGTAGAAACGCGTATAAAACTGTTCAACTCCCACATTGCGTGTAAAAATTGAAATAAACAAAAAACCCATCAAAATACAAAGGCTTCTGTTTTCAGGTTAAACTCTGAGACATGGCAAAGGTGCCCCGACCATTGACTTGATGTGATTGGCTCCTCAGTCAGAACCAGACTGGGATTACATTACCATTTAAAAATACATATTGTATGCTGAGTTAATGACATGTTGGATTTACTATAGTAAGAAAAAAAAAAGCTGCCAAGAAGGAAAAACTCTTATTTGTCATACAGGTGCTGACTGTTTGTCCCATTTTGTGTCACAAAGTGCATCAACACTGACAGTCCGAGATTAGAAAGAACCTTCATTTATAAGTTACACTCACACCTAACCGATAGACTCTATGTAGAAAGAACAGTAATATGGTTTGCTGTTCAGTTGTCATTCACAAATAAAAAATACAATTAGATAAAAAGGCAACAAGAAAAACAATTTACCCTTTCTATACTGGAGCATTGAGATGTCCTCTCTACACCCCCCACCCCACGCACGCACACACACACACACTTTCTATACAACTTCAATATAGTGCTCACAAGCGGCTGCATTCTCCTTTCTACTAAATAAATATACAGATAGATAAATAGTCCATGCTCTGACTGCTGTACGGCCACAAAGACTTTCATCTTTCATCAACAGGAGTTGCTCGGTCCTACATCTGAAAAAAGAAACTCGGGCCTGGGCTCTCCTGGCTGGCAGAAGCACGCCCTCTTAAGTAATTGAAGGGATTTCAATTAATAATCAACCCAGACCTGATCTAACAGTCAGAGTGCCGCACGAAGCACGGCAGCTCAGGTTTCTTCTGACGACTGCTGCAGTTACAGAAGCAGGAGAGCAAAGTGACAAATACTTGGAAACGTGAGGATCCACGTCCAGGAAAATTCACCTTAAACACTGCCGTATGCCATCAGTTTTTCATGTCCAGTACCACCCATTGCAACACTCCTCTTGCAAGTTTTGCAATATACTTTTGGTGTGCCAACTTTGTCTAAACATGTCTGATCTACTCTTAGTAGAGATTATTCACCTCCTACTCATAATACAACCAGCTGGAAAGCTAAAGCGCTGCCCGGTTTGATTCCAGGACTTCCTGTCCCTTCTAAAATGCCTTTCTGATTGTAGCATTGTTATATACCAAGTTTCAGCTAAAAATAAAATTCTTTGATTAATATTGATTGGTTACACAAATAAAAGGTACATCTTTTTTTGCATTTTTGTTTTGTTTGCCAGTAAAATGTCATAAACTAGCTCTTCAATTGCTACTTTTCTGACAGCCCAAGACCCCAGCATAAAAATACTAAAAAAAAAATTAAGTAAAATACAAAGACAGAAATAATTTCTTTCCATTTTTGCTCAACTGACAAATTGTGTCAAGTTTTCGATCTTCACTTTTCCTGTCAATAGCAGTTTTGGACTGATAACTATTAAAAACAGTGCAAAAGAGTTGTACCATGGATGTCTAACTTTATAAGACGCTCTGAATGTTATTCTTCATCTGTTACAATAAATATTTCATATCTCTTGAGGCACAAGCATAGGTGCATAACTAGGTCCTCATAAGAGGCATGTGCATATTAGAATTAGTGTTTCATTCCACCTTAAACTGGCTCAACCTTGAGAAACTTTTCAGCCAAACTATCAGATAGACCGTTAAAAGAAAAAGAAAAAAAAAGACAGAGTTCATCAGAAAGAGTTTGTCAGCCCTAATTCAGCCGGAGCAGCTCCTAAAAAAAAGACAGGAAATGTTCAGAAGTTCATCTCGGTGATCAGGACTTTACCAGGATCTCCATGATGTGGTCCAGGTCATTCAGGTCCACGAGACAAGACTGGAGGCTCCCCGTTGAGGAATGGCTGGAAGAACGTAATTTCACGTCCTCGTCCGGCCATAGCGACACGCTGACTGGCCACAGAGACCCTGTCGCCCAGGCCGACGGCAGATCTGAAGTCTCATACATCGATGTGTCAATGTCCTCAAAGATATCATCCAGGGCGAGGTCGCTGAGGTAGCCCATGGCATTTACTGCATCGCTGAAAGTACTGATGGCTGCAGCGGGCAGAGATTTCTGCTGGTCGGGGAAGTCAATTGCCTCCTGAGAGGGGAATTCGGGAGACAGTGGGGGAGACAGAGACAGGCTTTCCCCATCTCCTTCGGCACACCCAGGGCACGTAACAGGCACGTCCTCTCTGAAATCGTCCCTGAGTAGACAGGAGTCATCTGCATGAACGCCGCTGATGCTGAGACGTGAATCTGAGGTGCAGGTTCCCACGCCGTCACTCCATATTTCCTCCTGAATCTGCCTGAGAGTATTGATGAGCAGCACGGAGCGGCGCAGGCTGAGCTCCATCCCCGCCTGATAACGCTGGAGCTTCTCCAAGCAGAGGCCGAGCACCCGCTGACGCTGCTGCAGGTGGCTCATGACCGATTTGGACGGGTCAATGAGAAGCCCGGCCTCGTCTTCCTGGCCATCCTTTCCACTCTGCTCCTTTTCCTCCGTAATAGTGGCTTCCGCGACCACCTCAGCCTCCAGCTCCTCCAAGCAGCTCCACTTCCGCTTCACACCTCGACCCAACATTGGCCTGCATCAGGGGATAAAGAGCCCATTTGTTAGGTTGCAATAAGGTACAACGTGTAATGAAGCGTTACATTTACATGGCAAAACACAACATATAGTTCTGCAAAACTAAATTAGGTAGAGAGGCTAGTTTCCCAGAGCTTGAACTGTCTGCTGGTCTTAAACATTTGTCTTTTTTAAAGTCACCAATCGGAGCATTTCCTCCTGTTGAAGTGAAAGAAAATGAGACACAAACCTTTGACAGCAGTCGCTGAGATGGTGTGTCTATTCTTTCTTTATTTTATTTTTTTAGGGCTTGGATCTCTGATCTGGCGGCATGGCAATAAACCTTGCATTCAATTTATGTAAGAGCACAAAGCAAGCGAGCATGCTTAGTTTCAGAGACACTGTCAGGCACAGAGCCTTTTCAAATCAGGAGAAAACACATAAAGCATAAAGCTGCAGATACTGAATATATTATGCACCTTTACATAGTCGATTTTTTTCTCCCCTGAGTTAAGACATTTGAAAGAGCGCGTTTTACCAACTATGACTCACTGTTAGACACCCCAGCAGGCTTGACAGACTTTACTCATCCATACAGGGATGGGTAGCGCCATGGAGCACTTTCTCTCTGATCCTTTTACAAAAGTAAAGAGGACACACGAAGCCCCATTTGGTGAGTTTGACCCTCGTCGGAGAGATTAAAGCTGCTTGGTCTAATTTAATATGTCGGTAGAAGCCTCAACAAAGTAAAATACGCGGATAATAAACATGTTAGCAAAAATCAGTCTTTTTAAATCGCTAACTACGATCATATGGTCACTCTACACTACTTATTTAGCTCAGGACCCCCGAGAACACCCCATAACCCCGTGACGGTTCCCGTACTTCAGCGGGAACGTTAAGATCCAATTTGAACCAAGTTTAAAGGGCAAACTTAAGTTCAATTTAAGAGAATGACATGAAGACGACAGAAAAACCAACCTTACGTGCCCTTGGGAAGTGTCATGGGAGGTATGAATCAGTCGAGTCTTCGACTGGTTTCGTTTCAGTGTCCCGTTCCTGAGCTGTAGACGGCCGAAGTGTGAGGAATGTACTGTCCGCTCGCAGCAGCTGGGGGAAGGCGGCGGAGCTGCGGAGGAGGGGGGAGGGGCACGGGAGCTCACCGGCGCACGGGATTGGTCCGTTCACCCGACGATCAAACCTCCGCCTCCGCCACTCACGGGGCAGCGAATGTGCGGTCGTTTGTTCCGACAGCGATCTGGCGCTGCGTTTAAGAACACCTCGTAACAGTTGGAAATCATGTCGAAGCACACGAAATACACGTGAGCGGCGATAATGGCCTTTATGATCGGTGGAAAAAGAATTTATCAGGACATGGGCTTGTTTTGTCCAGTAAGCGGTAAATAATAAAAGCTGAGCATGTTTTTAAATATGAAATCACTGGTAGAGCGTAACCACTGCTGTTATTGACCATGGTGGACTTAAGTATTAACCCTTTAAACTTGTTTGTCTTTTTCCGTTTGACGTATTTTTGGAACTTAAATTTTTTTTTTTCACGCATTAACTATCTGCATAAATTTTCTGTTTAAGTACAGTTATATATATTGTCCAGTTTAAGTAGTGTTACTTTAGCTCGATTTTTCTTGCACTGACTTTATAGTTGTTGACATAAAGCAAGAAGTGACTTGTTGAGAAGTGTGTGACAAAGTGACCCTACTTCTCAGTTGATTTATTACCCCAGTAATCACTCAGAATGGGTTTACTGCTAGTCTTCAGTCCTCTTGAGTACAGCACAATGCATATAGCCCATGGCATTTAGTCAGGATATGGCAATGGCAAAGCTTATCTGTGGTACTGTGTTGTTTTTAATTAATTTTAATTCTAACTTTTATTTTACTTATTTGTTTATTTAGGTCACCTGAAAGGATTCTGTTCAGCATTTGGTTGCACTAACAGAAAATCCAAGAAGTCACCTTTTTTCTGTACCATCCATTATTTTTTCATATTGTCAAAACTACTTTTACTCCACGAGTCTAGTTACTTGCATTACCCAGGTTTTAGGTCCTGGTTTTAAGGCATGCATTAATGTAATAGCAACTATTAAGTGAAAGTTTGATTCAAGGCTAAATTTAACTAACATACATCTGGTCTGTTTTTGTTTCTGCCACACGTGACCTACTTAATATTCAGTTTCAGATCCACCAGTCTCTCCTCTGGGCCGATTCTGGTTCCCAAAAACCAAGATGGTGACAAGCAAAATTCTACAGTAGAGCTTTGGAACAGCACTGTCTCTATAAAAGAAAAAAAGTGTCAATAATACTCAGACTAGATTATTGGCAAATCAGCAATATACCTGTTGCCTCTACTCAAAGTAACTTATGAGTACTTTCAGCATTAGTGTTGTGGCGTCCTACCGCATAATGTGAAGTAGGAGGACATTAAAGGTGCCAAACATTATGCTATTTTATGGACAATTCTTTCTCTTTTAGATGCCACAAATGTTCAGACATTGATTCATAAAGTTCTCCCATGAATTTACATCTAACAAAGAAGTGAACATTTCTTTTAACAACATTTAATCAACACAGTTTTACCAAACAGACACCAGTGCACCCGTGCTGGAAATATCTAGAAGCCCCAGGTTGCTTTATTGCGTACCTGAACGCAGCCTTTTAAAGGGACAAGATGACTCAGAACGGAACGGGAAGGACGTGACCAGAGAGACAGGAAAGGCAAATACCAAATAAGGAAGGTCTTATTCCACCTTATATCTCTTCCTTCTAAATTAGTCACGCTTGTTTCCTCATCTTGTTTCTTTCTTTCATTCTCATCAGCCCCATAGTTTTGTCTTTTTTTGAATTGAAATCGTACATTTGCGCGCTTAAAAGATATATTAGTAAAGAAGAAAAAGCAGCTATATAAAACAGAACCAAGATTTCATAGTATTTCATCTTTTACTCGAACACCGATGTACACTTTACTCTTTTAAGCTGAACGTGTAATCAACGGTTATCTAGATTAAGAGAGGAACCTGAAAGCAGCGTGGGAGGGGTGGACTAAAGCTCACTACTGCACACGTTTTTTAAAGGAAGTGTTGCCCTGTGACAGCAGAAGGCACATGTACTTTAAGCATGGTGCTGTGTATTTATAATAAAGGTCAGAGTAGCATCTTTCAGACCTGCTCTCTTAACATCACATGATGTTAACTTTATGAGAGCATTTCTGAAACAGCTCAGATTTTCTGCTTCACATTTATTTATTTTTTCCCCTCTTTTGCTGCTTTTTAAGACACTCGAGCCTCTTTCACCGATGACTGGATTTTTTCCCCTTAGGCTGCCTTTTTGCTGACTCACTGAGAGACCATTAATCTTTAACTATAAGCTAACCAATTCCAGGCGACAGTCCAGCTTGCAAAGTAAGCTATAATTTTATGAAGAAATTGCTTTTGTCAGGATCAGACAAAACTTCCTTCAGATTTGTGAATATGCAGTTTTCTGAATATGAAAAAGCTCACGTTTTGAAAAGGACAAAATGTGGCTCGACTCTGAACAGGTTTGCTCCAAGTTGCGTTTCGAACACACAATGGTGCTGTTATGTTGAAACCACTGCAACTCTCTCCACATATCTAACGCAGGATCTCACGGTCCAATATCGTCATGTGACAGCACGTGAGAACAAAGGTCTCTCTGCGGCCAGACTGCAGCTGCAAAACATCTAATTCTATTTTAGTGTCATTAAAAAAAATCCTGTATTTGAGGGAACATATACAGACTCAACTGAAAACTCCTTCAAGGCGTCTTTTAGCAGGTCACACGTGGAAGAGCACTGAATGAATCATGCATGATTTGAGCACCTGTGGTGTGTGTTTTTGCACACGCCACAGGTGCTCCTCTAGATTTCGAAATGACCAACAAGTGTGTATAGACAAGTGTCATTAGGAAAGCTCTATATCAGTACAACTCCATTTAAAATTAAGCACTGATTTATAGCGTGTTTCCACTTTACTTGTTAACAGGTGAATACGGATAGATTAACTAAACAGCTGTTAACTGCAACACAGATCAACAGCACCTCAAAGTGTGGTCTTCAGAATTCTTGCGAAACAATGATGAATCAGCACCTGTCTCAGTTCAGCAAAAACTAAACCTTTACAGGTAGTTCTTGCAGGATAGTTTCATTAGACTGTTAGTTTTAACCAGCTGTTCCTAATAAACTGAAAACTTTTACAGTTTCTGTATGTGCCAGCGCTGATATAGTGAAAACCAACTTCTGATTGGCTGCCCCTTCAATTCTCACCCCAAGAATACACGGATATAAAATACTCAAGAAATGCTTACCATTCCACCAGACACGCCCCAGAGCTTTTTGTTTGTTTGTTTTAAGCTGTAACCATGTGGACCTGCACAGAACAGATGAGAAGGGCAGGGATAGTATAGAGAATCCAGCCAGCCTTCAAAATAAAAGACCCCATAGAACTTAAATGCTCAGCTTCTGAAAAGCTACCCTTGTGATTTGGAGATATGCCAAGACCAGCAGCTTCGTTAGCTACAACTCTTCAGCTCCTTAATAATTTAAATATCTCATCAGCCAATCACATTGCAACAGTTTAGGCATGTAGACGTTGTCAAGACGAGCTGCTGAACTTCAACTGAACATCCGGATGGAGATAAAAGGTGATTTAAATTACTATGAACATGTATTTATGGTTTAAATGACCCTGAATCCTGCAATATGCATAGACTGCTGGGGGATTCCCATGATGCATTGAGTATTTCTTCTTCAGTCACCTTTATCACTCACTATGTGTTAGTAGACCTTTCTGCATTGAATCATACTTATTATTAAACTCTGGCTCTCTTCCACAGCATGTCTTTTATCCTGTCTTCCTTCTCTCTCCCCTACCAGTCATGGCAGATAGCCCCGCCCCTCCCTGAGCCTGGTCCTGTCAGGGGGTTTCTTCCTGTAAAAGGGAGTTTTTCCTTCCCACTGTTGCCAAAGTGCTTGTTCATAGGAGGTCATATGATTGTTGGGTTTATCGCTGTATGTATTATTGTAGGGTCTACCTTAAAATATAAAGCGCCTTGAGGCGACTGTTGTTGTGATTTGGCGCTGTATAAATAAAATAGAATTGAACTGCTTTGAATGTATTTACAGAGAATAGTCCGATAAGGAAAAAATATCCAGCGAGCATTAGTTCTCTGGGTGGAAATGCCTTGTTGATGTTATAGACCAGAGGAGAACGCACAAGAGGGCAACAGTAACCACTCTCAGACACCAGGGTATGCAGAGCATTTCTGAAAGCACAGCACGTCAAACCTTAAGACTGCACTGGATGCTACTCCTGTCAGCTAACAGGAAACTGAGGCTACATTTCACACAGGCACACCAACATTGGGCATTTAAGGATTGGAAAAAGGCTGGTGGTTTAGCCCAGTTTGGGCATTTTAATACCAACTTGGCGTAGTTTAAACACCACAGCTTACCTGAGTGTGGTTGCTGTCCATGGCCGTCTCTTAACGACCACATCTAGTTTCTTTCAACTGGATAACTCACCGTGTCATGGAGCGGAGGTGAGTGGGGCCTCAGTGCTTACACAGTTTTAAGCCGAAGATATTAAAAAGATGTCCACTCTCAGTAACATCACGCAGAGCCAAGACTGGGGAAAAAAATGAGTATGATGCTGTCTGGAGCCTATGCTTTTCACTCACAGGAATTACTTATTTACATATGCTTTCATTATTCAAAACTTAATATGCATCCTTTACAGTAGCGCTCATATAACAGAAACAGAGAAGCACAAGTCTTCTTTCAGATCCATTTAAAAACCATGACAAATAGTTAACCCTTTAAGACCTACCATAGAACCAAGTTCGCCAGAGCTTATTTTATATTTTTACATGCTGTAGTGCCATTTTTGGAAGCATTTCAAGTTGCTATACATCAATACAACCATTATAGCCCAAATTTTAATAATATGTATGCATTAAGTCCACAGTAACTACATAAATTGCAAAAAAGTGCAATAAACTACAAAAAAAAATTGAAAATCGTTTTTGTTTTTTTACATATACTTCTACTTGGAGAAATTTAAGAGGTTTATCCCTCAAAACCTTAAATACAAAAAGTTGCAAAAAGTGTAGGAAGTGTTACGA